AAAAAAAAAATTTGTCCCGACGATCTATCTTCTATACGCAAATGGCTACCATATTGAAAAATATACTATTTTTGTATGATAATTATGGGTTTTGTATTTTATTTTAATAGAAGTTGATGTTGCTTTTGCAATTATCCATCAATTTTTTAAAATTAAACACTATCTACAGATTTGCATCGAAGCGTTTCTTATGATAGTGATTTTAATCACTGTCAGATTAAATCTATCTGGACCCAACTATGCAATGTCTCCACTATGCCGCGACCCCACTGTGTTTTTTTTTTTATTACTATATAGTTAACATAATAATACACTTACATCAATTCCAGGAAGAAAGGACAATTCTTCTGCTAATAGATGTGCTCGTTTGTCTCTAAATGTTATAGATCTTTTTTTCTGAGAATTAATACGTCGCAAAATATTTAAAATATCTGTGCTATTATCAAATTTACTGATTTTTTCATCAGGTAACCAAGTTTCAATACTTTTTTGAATACATTGTTTAACATCATTTTGTTTCTAGATAAATACATAAGAATAAATATTTTATCATTTAAATCCGTTAAATAAATAAATATTTTCTGTTAGTTAACTAAATTATTATATGATGATGATGATGATTACTTTCAAAGGAATTTTATCTAAATCTGTTATTGCAACAACAGTAGATGGTAAACCTTGTGCTAAAATACAGGTCATAAGTAAATCAACATCTTGATCCAATCCATTTTCTGCCGAAACAATAAATAATATTGTATCTACAACTTTAAGAGTATCTAAAAGTCCAAATATACTACTACAATCAGGTCTAACAAAAGTAAAAGCTTGTTTTAATTGATCAATCCTAAAATATAAAATTTATAACAAGTTAATTGTTTTATAAAAATATTTTTAAAAAAGAATTTTAATCTGAAAATAATTTTTTACCATAAATGTGAATAGCCTTCTGGAGCATGTGCAGTAGTAAGTTTTACATCAGAATTTTGTAATGTATTAACAATTTCAATTAATTTTTCATTGGTGAAAATATTGTTACTTAATGGAATAACAGCTACTAAGTGAGGCAAACTAAGTGATCTACGTTTTTCATTTATAACATTGTCAGTTTTAATTTTACGATGAAGTCTAGCTTGATTTCTTCGTTCAATTCTACCCAACTGATGGTTAGCTTTAGATTTTGCTGCATGTTGAGCTGTACGACCTACAAGGAAAAAAATGATAACAAAAATTAATTTTTATTCAATTCATTTACATTTATACTTATTTAAATTAAATATTTAGCATTTATTAATTCATTTAGACTATTGATTCATACTGACCTTTTTTTAAAACATCAAGTGTTCCTTTACTCTTATGCCGTCCTGTTTTATGTTTTTTGTTATCTTGCTTTGTTGGACCCGACCTGTGAGTAACTTGTTCTTGATTCACAGGCTTCATACTTGGATTTAATGAATTTTTAGTTATAAACTATTCAATTTAGAAATACCATCTTAAAGTAAGGATAACGTTGACAAAATTTATTTCTATCGATACTTAGTACTTTTAATATATTTATAGATATATAAAATAACAAAGCATTAATATTATAGTTAGAATGATATCCAACGCCGTAGAAATAAACACGTGGTTGATAAGGAAGATATGATAATAAGGAGACTCATACTACTTGTATTGTGCATTTTCGATTTAAAAATATTAACTCCTAACAGTCATTACTTCAATGAATCACATAATTAAGAAATCAAAATACTAAAAACTTTATAAAAATGTATTTTAATATTGTTCAACTCTGATTAAACTTTTGAGCAAGGTAAAATATATAATTATCATTTTAATTATTTTATCAAACAGTTCGTTAGTTTTTTTTAATCAATTCATCATTTATTAATGCATAACTAATTAAAATTATTCAATTAATGTTAACTATATGTACATAGTTAAAACTGTAATAGTTTAAAAAATATATAAAAATAAGTTATATAATTGTATACAACTTTATTGGATAGATATATATGTTCAATATAATTGGTAAAAAAAATAGCTCAATGAGTAACGGATTGAAATAAAAAGAGAAATAATATAAATAAAAAATAATCGTTTAGACTAAAAATAAAATATTTAAATTTCTAATTAGATTTCAAAAAATTTATTTTCATTTCACAAATGTAACAATTATTTATTCATATAAGAAAAACACGTTTTTATGAGCAACACTTATTTTAGAAAAAGTTTTACTAGTAAAAATTTACTACAGTAACTAATTTTAACTCAAAAAGAAACCCGTTTTTAATGTCAGTGTACAAATTAGTCTAAGTCTAAGAGTGCTGTTAAATTTTAAACGATTAATACATTTTACCAATGTATTGATATTAATGTTCAGTAAGCCCTTTTAAATTTAGTAAGCATTATATAAAACTTTCATAAATTTTGGGTAAAAATAAAATAAAAGCTTATATTTGTACTATTTGTGTATATACATCTCACCAAGCTATAATGGATTATAAAGATGAAAACATTAGTTAAGGACAAAATTATTCCAAACATTAAACTAAATTATTTCAGAACTAGTATACGAAGTCTGGTTGGGTTGGGTTGTCTGTTATACGTGAAGTCTGTTTGATTAATAAACAGACTCCCACAAAATATAGTAATATATTTGGACACATGAAATTTATTCGAATGTCCGAAAAGGCAAAATGTAGTTATTCAGGAGATCTTAAATTAAAATGTATCATTGATGGATTAAATAGCACTATGAAAAACGTGCAAATTTGATTCAGACTAAAGGACAGAAAATAAAAAAGAGCACTTCTTCTGTAAAATATCCTTTTTATATTGTGATTGAATCTCTGAAATTCAACCAAATCTTTTTAACACGCTTATATTAGTTTCACCTGTATGTATGTATGTTTGTAACTCTCCAAACGCCACGCGTTATCTCATATTCCGTCGTCTAGACTAGACTGTCATAACGCATTCAACCCTCCCCACGCCTCTCTCAACACACGACGGCACACTATTTCCTATAAAAATTTATTTTTAGTTATCGTACCTGTTACACGCGTGCTTGTTATCAATATTATATATAAACAAATTTTTATTTTGACTGACCAATATCGCCCGCGTCTAATGCGCCTTACGTATATATATTTATATATTCCTACCACCGTTTATACCTCAGGTATAACGTTAGTCCGACCCGCCCGCCCACAAAATGCGGTTATACCTAGTGCATGATACGTTTACGTACTTAAGTCGCTTTACTTGTATATATATATATATATATATATATATTCTAATTACTATTAAAATTAATATATTAACACGATTTATTCTAATTAAGAGATATAAAGTATTCATTCCGATTACGAGGGATGATTTCCGTATCGTCATTTTTCGTCACTACCTCCACGTTCCGGGAGTGAGTAATTTACGCGCCTGCTGCTTTCCTTGGATGTGGTAGCCGTTTCTCAGACTCCCTCCCCGGAATCGAACCCTGATTTCCCGTTACCCGTAACAACCATGATATTGATAGTAACTACTATCATAACATGAAACTAAAAAGTAAAAAATAAATATAGTTTAAAAAACTAAAAAAACACGCTTTTAAAGCACATCGAACTAAAAAGTTAAAAATAATTTTTAAAATAATTATGAACAAAAAATACTAGTATTATTGTGATAAAAGCGAGGGTGCTTTGTGTCATATTTTTCGTATATTGAGCGCCCGACGCTTTTATCACAATAATACTAGTATTTTTTGTTCATAATTATTTTAAAAATTATTTTTAACTTTTTAGTTCGATATGCTTTAAAAGCGTGTTTTTTAAACTATATTTATTATTTATTTAAAAAAGATACTGCGTAAGGAACATTCTTTTCCTATTTTACTTAAACATTAACAACTTGGTTAAGTCGTAACTTAATCTAATTTTATTTCAAGAAGTATATTCCCGGCTAAAACGCAGTTGAAAGTTGTAAAATCATTCCTTCAGATCATGACACAATAGTATCATGTTAAATTACAATAGGGACGTATATATGGTGAGTAAGCCCTCCCTTCAAGATTTAACAAAAATCTTAATAGATAAATTAATAGATAATAATAAAAGAATAAGTCTGACAATTTGTAAGAGTTCTTAATCAGAATACTTTTATGACTTCTTGATTAATTAGATTGTATGATGTATGGTTTTTAATTCAGAAATATCTATATAGCACTTAAATTAACACATTTTGGTTAGGTTATAGGTGGTATTCGATCTGATATTGACAGGTGGCGGCATCTGACGACTCATCATGTCATCGCTGACAAAATATGCAACTTATACATATAAACATGCGCCCTCTTTGTTTCACGTACGATAATATATTATTTCATGTGTACTCGTCTAATACTGTCATGATGGCCGAGACGGCCGGTCTCATTAAGTGGGAGGCGCCATATTATGGCCATTTCCATACACCTTCCATACATACTCACAAACATGTAAAACGAACGAGAAGAAAAAACAAAAAATAATACTAGAGACATAGGGAAAGAGAGAGAAAACAACATGCACATGGAATAAAACCCACGTTCTTATGTATATCTATATCGAATGTGTAATAACGCTGAAATTATCGAGGGGAAGATAATTGTCGCCCGGCGGAAACTGCCGCTGCTGTCCAACTAACACACACATTCACTAAAAAAACCTGACAAGTCGGGCGGCTGCGACGATGGTGGTGGGATACAAACACAACGACTTGAACGACTAGGTACAATCGAGTAAAAAAATATAGTAAAAAAAAAAAATAGTAAAGCTAATATTTTTATTAACGCAAACACGGTTTGCTCGTGTTTCGTTGGCCGGTCGCGCGGCGCGCATAATGTCAGGTAGAACATTTTAGTTTGTTTACTTTGGAAATGTGGTAAACAATACGAAAGCTACCTTAACGTATACTTTTGTAACTATGTTGTTATCTCGTTGGTGAATCTCGGTTCGGTAACGCCATCGTCAGTTTATCAAAATAAAATTATTTGTGCCCCCAAACGATTAGATATTTTGTAAGGATTCCTAATAAATGTACTCGTGGAAGTTGTGCGTATATAAAAGACGTGTAGTGTTAACGCAGTGCTGTTGTTCGGGTGATGGAAGAAAATGACAAAAGCAGAAACGGCGTGGTGGAAGACATTCGACGAGATCAGCGGCAGCATCGGATTCTTTGCGATCGCAAAGGCGACAACGACCAAAAAGACATTGACATAGTGCCAAACGGAGGGAACATGAGCGTAAGTACAAGTATTTAATTGATGAAAACTATAGGGCGGATTCAAATGCATGAGATTGGTCACGTCCAAAGTGTGAAATGAAACAGTAAAGTAGTTTTCATCTTCTATAAAACAATAATTGTTATATAATACGTGTGCAATTATCGTATATATAGTTAAAAACCATGTGTGTTTTGAGCGCACTAAAGTTTTAAGTTGTGAAAATATAATTGCACCTATAATGTTTTTATTTTACGCGGTGTTTAACAAAAGCAAAGAAAGAATCGAAAATACAATATTGCAGGTGCTGTGTGTCTGTGAAATAGTTACAAATCCAGAGATGTCTTTTCACATCAATGACGGCAAATTGTTGATCGATCGACAATAACGGCATAGAATAACGTATCCAATAGCATAATGATAAAACCCAAATTTTAACAAGCGCCTCGAAGTCAAACATAAAAAGTGTTAAAGGTGTCGAGTCATCTAGTTAACAAACGTAACATAACATTTTTATTGTCGGTATACTATTATGATAGAATCAGAATAACACAATAATACGAATAGAAATAGACGTTAACTAAATTATTAATAACTCATGAAACTGTAAAATGAAAACTACTGTTTGATGAGTTCATTTTATAACAAAATTAACGTTTAAAAGTCTCATTACTTTTAGTAACATTACAGCTCATTACAACATTAGTTAACATCTCATATCGAACTATTCGAGTAATCTTTCGACTGCAGTAATTGCAAGGGTTTGTGTCTTTGGATAAGATTATGTTACATTCTAATTGTATTCATGTTTTTAAGTGGCCACATTTTTAAACCGAGTTCTGATGATTTCAATTTGATAATGATGCATTTATTAATCAAATATTGAATTTACTAGTTTAAGAGGGTAAATACATCCAAATATTACTGATGCGCATGGATCGGGAAGTTATATGCATTACGTTATTTTTTTACAGTTTTCCAATCAACCACCATGCTGTGTAATAATTTTATTTAAACAATAATTGGTTTAAATCGAATTAAGATTACGCATTACTGAAACCTATACGGTGGTTTATTAGATTTCAGTAAATTGAATGAAGCATCGCCCTATTGCACACTGCTCTAATTTACGTCCTCGTGTATATTATACACAACATCCGTGACAAATCTCGGGGCGTTATTTTTTTCGATTAGAAAAATACCACCCACTTTGTGCGTGCGTTCAGTCACTGTATTATACTACGATAATCAAATGATATTCCAAGGGGTCTTCGTGTGAGCACAATATTTATTTGGCGATCCGACCGCAGTTCATTTTCTTTTGCTCGTTGATACCGTTTGCTATAAATCCATGTCATAATGTATTATG